CCCATCTTACTCAGTCTCTCCCCAACCCCAAGGACAGTCCCATTCTACAACAGTGGCATCATGTAATATTTGTCCTTTTGTGACTGGGATATTTCACTCAGCATAATGTTCTCCAGAGTCAACCATTTTGAATAATATTGCATGAGGTCCTTGTTTTTTAATGCAGCATAGTATTCCATTGTGCGAATATACCACAGCTTCTCTAGCCATTCGTTTGTTGATGGACACTTAGGTTGTTTCCAACTCCTTGCTATTGTGAACAAAGCTGCAATAAACATGGGTGTGCATATATCTGCTTGGATGTCAGCTATGGTCTCTTCAGGGTATATTCCCAGTAGTGGAATTGCTGGGTCAAATGGTATCTCTATTTGCAACTTTTTGAGAAAGCGCCATACTGCTTTCCACAGGGGTTGCACCATTTTACACTCCCACCAACAGTGAATCAGGGTTCCAGTTTCTCCACAACCTCGCCAGCATTTGTTGCTTGCTGTTCATTTCACCCCAGTCAAAATAGCAAGGTTCAAATTGGCACCTAAAAACAAGACTACTAGAATTTTCAAGGTGATAAGATTTCCACAGTCAATATCCTTGCCAACAGCAGTCAAGAAATTAAAAAAAAAAGTTGCACTGGGAAAGTATGTGATCTGAGACCTCTCCAAGTTACTGAAAAACATTGCTTCGTTTAAAGACCAAGGTACACCCTATTAAAGCCATGGTCTTTTCAATTGTTTACAAAGCTTCTGAGAGTTGTACATCGACTAAAGGTGATAGTAGAAGAATTGATGTCTTTCAAGTGATGGTGTTGGAGCAGAGTCCTGAATATCCCATGGGCTTAAACACACACACACACACACACACACACACACACACCCAACAAAATAACCCCAACCCCAAATCATCCCAAATATATCTTTGAAAAGATGCAGCCAGAGTGCTCCTAAGAGGGAGGGATAAAGAAACTCCATCTCACATGCTTTAGGCATATTGCTAGGAGAGTCTAGTCCCTGGAGAAGGACAACATGCTTTGAAAGGTGGAAAGTAAGTAAAAGAGAGAAAGATCCTGAGTGAGATTGATTGACACAGTGGCTGGAAGTAATAGGCTCAAGTATAACAAAGATGATGAGATTGGCATAGAACGAGGCAGAGTTCAGGCCTGCTATTTAAAGGGTCACTATCAATCATGACTAATATGTGCATCTGATTGAGGCCATGGTCTTTCTGATCACTGCTATGCATCTGAAATCTGGACAATGAGTAGGGATAACAGAAGAAAATTGATGCCTTTGAGCTGTGGGGTTGGAGAAGAGCACTGAGCATCCCAATGGACTGCCAAAAAATTAAATGTCTTGGAGAGGGTGCAGCCAGAGTCCTCTTTGGAGACAAAGATGATGCTTTGCCTCACATACCTTGGACATGTAGCTAGGAGTGACTATTCTTTGGATAAGGACACGATGCTCAGAAAGATAGTTGGCAAAGGAGAGGAAGGTTCTTGACCAAGTGGTTTGACATGGTGACTGCCTCAGTGGGTTCTCATGTGTGAGGAAGTGTGAGGACGGCACAGGATAGAGCAGTGTTCAGATCTCTTTTTCCTAGGGTCGTTATGGGTCGTACTTAACCTAAGAATAGTAACAATATAAGTTATTATGGCATGGACGACATCAAGCAAAAATAGTAAGATTTTAGAGATTGATTGTCAGTCTTATATTCTAAGGTGCCTATGGGAGGATTTGATCTGCCGATTTTTTGTCTTGTTGCCAAGCAATTAACTGCACCATTTATCCATTTGATAACAAAAAATCTACACTATCATTCCTGCTCCTGTATTTAAAGAAATTATTGTGCCTATTTAAATGTTTTAAAGATATCTATGGATCCCTCTTGCAGACTGACGGTATTTTTTTATAAGTATTCATAACGAGACAGAACATCAAGAATGTAGGAGAAAATAGAGGTGAAGCAGAAGGTGAACAGAACACTTCTCAAACAACTAAAGCCAACTGAAGCACCAACCTTAGCTTCCCTATGTCTTGAATATTGTCAAGGAGCAAATCACAAAGAGAATTCAATGCAAATGAAGATAAACACTTTCTATTGAAAACCTGCTTGACTCAGGAGGGAGGGGTCAGCAAATACAATGCAAGAATCCTGTGCTCGCTTAGGCAGCACATATACTAAAATTGGAACGATACAGAGAAGATTAGCATGGCCCCTGCGCAAGGATGACACTCAAACTCGTGAAGTGTTCCATAAAAAAAAGAAAAAGAAAAAGAAAGAATCCTGTAAATGCTTAAGGAATGCCATAGTGCTTCAGGGTGAACTCCAGTTTGTGCCGGGCCTCCCTCACATCGTGAAATAGCATTCAGTTTATTACAGATCTTTAGTATGAAATTTGGCTTCCCATAGATCCCTATTAGATATTTCCTAATTCCTTTGTCCCTCCCTCCACCCACCAAACTCTATGACCCCATGATTTCTCTCCTCACCACCCTCAGATCAATTGTGATTAATTTTATAAGATACAATGCGTGGAAATGATCATAAGAAGTCCAATGTGAATGGGAGAAAAAAATCACTAATAATAATAATAAATTTATAAAAACACAGAACACACATCTGTGAAGTGCAGTAAAGTGAAACTATGCAAATGAAAAAACAGAGTAAATGCATAAATACATGTATACTTAAAACATAAAAATATACTTCGCTCATTTTAAATTGAGCTTAGTTCTATTTTTGTTGTTATTGTTGTTATGTGCCGTGGAGTCGTTTGCGACTCATAGCGACCCTATGCACAACAGCCCTAAACCCTGCTCCATCCTGGGCCAACCGCACTGCCTCTGACACACCCATCCCGATTACCCCAGTCACTTAATCAATCCATCTCATAGTGGGTCTTCCCCTCCTGTGCCGCCACCCTCCCAAGCATGATGTCCCTCTCCAAGGACTCGTCCCTCCTGGCAACATGTCCAAAGTATGTCAGATGAAGCCCCAGAATCCTTGCCTCCAAGGAGTAGCTTGGTTTAATCCTCTCTAAGATGAATCTGTTTGTTTTCCTGGCAGTCCATGGTACATTCAGTACTCTTCTCCAGCACCAGAGCTCAAAGGCATCAACTCTCCTTCTGTCCTCCCTAGTCATTGTCCAACTCTCTGATGCATAACAAGCGATTGCAAAGACCGTGGCCTGTATCAGGTGCACCTTAGTCTCCAGAAAGACACCATTGCTCTTGAGTATTTTAGAGAGGTCCCTAACAGCAGACTTTCCCATTGCAATATCCTTTTTGATTTTCTGACGGCTGGTGCCAAGAGTGTTGACTGTGGAGCCGAGCAAACTGAAGCTGTGAACAATCTCAATCTCTTCACCATCCATCCTGACGCTGCTAATTGGTCCAGTGGTGAGAATCTTTGTCTTCTTGACATTGAGCCTCAGTCCATACTGAAGGCTGCAGTCCTTGACCCTCCGCAGCAAGTGCATGAGGTCCTCCTCAGTTTCAGCAAGCAGGGTTGTGTCATCTGCATAACGCAGATTATTAATAGATCTTCCACCAGTTCTATTTTAATCCAGTAACTAAAATGAATTTTCTGTAAACCATATAGAAAATCCAGTTATATAATATTGTATTTCATCTTCTTTGATAAAATTTAAGTTGTATTGCTATTAGAAGAGAACAAATTATGCTATTATACTTCCTAATCCTGAACAATTTGCATTTGTGAAATAGGCTATATTTACCTACTCTCTATATTCTTGCTTTATAATGTATTTGTTGCTAGATTGTATTAATAAATATCTTTTCATAAAATTAAGGACATTTTATTGATAAAAGCAAGTTGGAGTTGGAGTTGTATTTTTCTAATCTTTCTCTGACAGCCTTTGGTTTAAGCTTTATGAGTTGATTAAAGACTTTGGAAACTTTCCTAGGAGAGTTAAAATTGCTTTTAAATTATCTTTTTGTTAAAGTTAACTATAATTCACTGTTGAAAGTCTCTAGGTTTTCAACCTTTGTGTTGAGGTGTTGGGACTCCTAAATATTTATGGTATGTTTCTTTGGTGATATATTTATTGGTTTTTTGTTTTTATTGTTTGTTTCTTTGTTTGTGTGTTTCCCCTAAACTTACCCTCTTGTCCAGGCTTTCTGCTATTTTTTTTATAAATTTGTTTATGAATGATTTTTAATGCAACATATATTTTTACAGCATATTCTTTCCATTTAATATTTTCCCATTCATTCATAGTAAGTGGCACATTTTCCTCCCTGCTGACCCCTCCCTCCCAGTTCATTTTTCTCTTTGAAGAAAAAAAAATTCATTGTTCTACAACCCCCCCCCAGTTTATAGTCCACTTTAGTATGCATTTCTTTTTCTGTAATCTTGTCATGAAAATAATACCTAATCTTATATTCCGTTTAAACAGTTCTCTCCTTCGTCTGTTTCAATGCAGTAGACGTTATTTATCGCCTCTTTTCTTAGGTTCCCCCAACTTTCAGATTTTTTGATAAAGAGAAAATAATCACATTGTGAGTTTTCTAATCTCTTTGTGTCTATGCTTGTATCTCTCCCCCCTCAATTCATTTTTGTTTTCTTTGTGTTATCTTGATTCCTTCTTCATTGGTTTAGCTTCTTAATTATGAAACATTCCAAAAGGATCAATTTTTAACGAATTTATCTATGTCATAAAGTAGTTAAAAATGTTCTGCAAATATTATATGTCAGATGCTTGCAGGATGACTTAACCCTTTTTGGAGCAGGCTGGTGACTCAGGTTTGCTTTGCCGCTGAACTAATAACCATGAAAGACTCAGGCCAGGAGAGAGACAGAAACAGATGTATGGGTGCGTTCTCTCTCTCTCTCTCTCCCTCCCTCCAGGTTTAAGGGGAGGAAACCAGAGGTGACTGTGTATTTCTGAAGTTCCCACAAGGCCTGGCTGCCTGGTCAGTTGACTTACACAAGTGTTCTATTTTGAAAATGTCAGGTTTTGGCTTGTGATCAATGAAGACGGGAACATGGTTACGGCTAGACAGGAACCTCGCCTGGTTCTGATTTCCCTGACCTGCGACGGTGACTGTCTGACTCTCAGTGCAGCCTACACAAAGGACCTGCTACTGCCCATCAAAACGCCCACTGCAAACCCGGTGCGCAAATGCAGGTAAGGAAGGACAGGCTTTTGCCTGGTGGCTTATTCCCAAAGCACTAACTGTGGAGAAGAGCTGAGAAAACAATCGCTAATGATCATTAACCATCTTTGATAAACACACAGTATGCAGAGTCATCCTCTGCACCATGGAGAAGACCGTAAAGAAGGAAAAATGATAGCGTAGCTTCAGACATTTGTGTTCTTGTGGGGGTGAGTTTTCATCTGGAAAACTGTGTGACGTGCATATCGACGTGTTGCAAGGGGAAAACAATTTATGAGGTAGAAGATTTAACATTACCCAAAATAATTTGGTTCTTGAGAGATAACTCTAAATCTTGGGAATTTCTTGAGTTGGGGTGGGGATGTGCTTTTTAATCTCTGTCTCCAGACCACTCTTGAGGATTTATGCTAAGGGTGGAGCAGTCCTTCCTGGGGAGACCATTCTGTGGTTGTATATCAGGAGGAGGGCAAGAGTTAACCAAACATGCCTATGCAATAAGGCCCCACTCTTGACTACATAATGAAGCCAATAAAGGCACTAGATGCAAGGCTTCCTGGTTGATGAGAGATATCCGTGCAGGTGGGAGTGTGGTGCAACCTTTTACGGGATATGGAAATTGAGCTTTAGGGACTCTCCCAGTCCTTGCCTTATGTGTCTCTTCATTTGCATTCTTTTATGTTTTATTAAAGTTGAATATGTAAGGATAGCGCTTTTCACAAGTTCTATGAATAATTCCAGTGACTCTTAGACCTGAGAGTATAGTTGGAGCGGATAGATTAGAAGGAAAGAGGCCTGGTATGCTCCAGTGTATTAGATAATATGGCTTTCCTGGACACTGGCTTTGCACCTTTCACCCTATGGTCAGACTGAGGAGCTGCTCCATGGGAGAAAGATGGACAATAAACTTCTGTTCAATATACTGCCTATGAAAACCTGCTGAAGGGTTCAGCTATGAGTCGGTTCTAACACAATGTCACATAAACAACAACAAGGAGATTAAATAGCATAGTAATATTGTAAATGAGGCCAATGGCACATTTCAGAAGGGACCATAAAAATCACATCTCTGCACACTCGTGTTATCGCAGCTTTGTTCACAATAGCAAATAATTGGAAACAACTCAAGTGCCCATCAACAAATGAATGGATAGAGAAGTTCTGGTATATTCACTCAATGGAATACTGTGCTGCATTGAAAAACAAAGAACTCATGAAATATTATACAAAACAGGTGACCCTGCAGGACAGTATGCTGAGTGAAATATCTCAGGCTCAAAAGGACAAATATTCCATAGGGCCACTGTTGTAAAACGGGATTGATATCAGGATTGAGGGAAGACTGAGAAAGAGGGGATGAATGATGTATCCTGCATTGAGACAGATGAGGGAAAGAACTGTTTAAAAGGGATATATGATTATGTCATATAAGGGATATATGTCATGACAGGAGTCCAGAACAAAGGCTATACAGTGGAGCGGACTTGGGGGGAGGGATTGTAAAACAATAAGAGAATTTTTCTTTTACTTCTACTTTATTAGTTTTAATGGACATTTACAGAGATTCTGGATTTCCATTCATTCATTGCAGACCTGCATTTTTTAAAAATTGTATTATTTTTACGTGTATCCTCAAATCAGATCTGACTGGTACAGGAGGAGATTGCTCCCTCCTTCTCCAGCAGAGCATCTGGTGGATTTGAACCGCATATCTCTGGGATTGCAGTGCAGCATCTTGCCACTAGGCCACCAGAGCTCCCTTCCTTTTACTTTTAAAAGAGAAGAACAAATTGGGGAGGAGGGAGTGGGTAGGGAGAAAAGTGCAACAATGAATGAATGGAAACCCTAAGTCTCTGTAAACTGTCATTAAAATTAATAAAAAAAGAAAAAATAACATCTCTATCATACTAATATGGGTTTGGTCAGTTTTGTCATCCAGCCAGGCTTAAACTAAACAGCCCAGAGGTGGAAACCAGAGGCCTTACTACCATCTAGAAAGAAGAACCAGTGAATAGAGCCTTTGGGCTTGAGATTCCTGTGAATCTCAAGGGCAAAGAGAAAATATGAGTCAAGATGGTTGCAGTGATAGTAGTGGTAATAGCAGTGATAGGAACAGAGGTGGAGGAGAGAAACTAGTGTGAGATTGAGTGATGGGCTTCTAATCCAGAGAAAGAGAGGGAGAAACAGCAGGCAAACACTGAGTACCTGCTGGTGAAGTAGGTACTTTGGAGAATTTGCCGGGAAAGTGAGGTCTTCTTACCTAAACTGGCCTAGATTAACTGACAAATTCCAAGTGACACATGACTGGCAGAGCTAAAGGAGCTTTGAAACACCTGTGCAGGACAGAGGCCAAGATCATGAAACTGAAGATCAAGAGAGAGGGCTGCCTGTGAGTACTCTGAGAAGAGGCTGTTCTGACTAACATTGTATCCTGCGTGTTCCTAAGCCTGTTACTGCCCTAAAAACCCCTCATAACCATGCATACTGTCTGTGGATTCTGTGATGCCATTGCAATGGATTCTTGAATCTAGAAGAGAGGTAGTGAGGGCCTTAGGAGGGATGGTTTTTGCCAAAATTGTTACAAGTATGTGAAGCATGTCTGACCTCATGCAAATCAGCTTTGTGCTCTTCTTGTTAATGGGGATTTTTACTTCTTATGAAGTCAGTAGAGGTCAGATGTTGCCTGCTCCAAGCCCACTACACTATTTTTACACTGACGATCTCCTCAGACGGCTTAGCATTCTAAAGGCATTACAGGAGAACGCCACATTTGTAGCCAGCATGTAGGAATAAAGACAACCTGGTGGTACAGAGGTTAAAGAACTTGGCTTCTAATGGGTATGTTGTGGGTTGACACCACCTGTTACTTCGTGGAAGAAGGCTGTCTTCTCTGTTTATGTCTGATTGGACATACATTCCATACATTGGAAGTTCTGTGAGACAGTTTTGTTCTGTCCCAGAGAGTCACTATGAGTCAAAATCGACTCAACAGTAGTTTAGCTTGGTTTGGGTTTTATGTTGAAGTAAGAGGTCTTGGGAATTTGGGAATTTTTGACTGGTGGCTATAACTTGTGCAGACCTGGTAGTCTGTGCCCTTTGACCTGTGAACTCTGACTTAGCTCTGGGTGGTGAAGGGTAGAGGAAGAAACAACTCATGTCTGAATTGAAGTGGAAAAAGTGGATTTTGTGCATGAACTTTTCTTCTGTTCATAATTCAACTAAAGAATAAAAGACAAGAATGATGGATATGATTGCAGAAAAATGTCCTAGAAAAGGCATCCTCACAGGACCTTCCCGATTATGCCTGGAGAGACTGAGTATCTTCTGAACCTGAGTTAGGCAGGGGGTTGCACGTGCCCATGTGACCTGTGATATTTCATTCTGATGAAAGGCAGTTCACAACAGAGGATGTTAGTGCCCAGGAGGAGAGGACCAGCCTGCATTCACCTGCTCCCTGTGCATCCTGTGACAGGTGAAGCCGTGATTCAGCCACGAGGACACACATCGCGGTCCTTCCTCAGCATCTGAGAGATGCTAAGAAGACATTATTCTGGAAAGAAGTTGCTTTACTTTGAAGAAATATTGTTTCCTTTGGAGTTTTCATCCCATTGTGGGCAAAGTAAAGTTTTTGCTAATTATCCTCTGGTTACATTTCTATATGTTGATTTAAAAGGCGGGAGGAATATATGATTAGGTATTATTGTCACGACAAGAGTCCAGAGTGAAAGCTGCATAGTGGAGTGGATTGGGGGTGAATGGGGATTGTATTAACAATGAAAGGTTTTTTTTTCTTCTCAAAGAGAAAAGCGAGGGAGGGAGGGAGAGGAGTCAACTAGGAGGAAAATGTGCAAAAATGAATGAATGGAAATCTAAAGTCTCTGTAAACTTTCATTAAAAAAACAGGCAAAGCAAATTTTATATGCAATGTGAATGTTACATGGGAAATATATTAAAAAGTGTCAAAAGTCCAGTTAGCTGAGTAATGTACAAATACCCCCAAAGTTCAGAGTTCAGTGCCAGTATAATTAATATAATGTCTTAGAGTTTGGGCCATTATGATGTTTTAATTGTTTGATAGGTTTTCTTATTTCAAAAGTAATGCATATACATTATTGAGAAAAATGAAAATCAAAGGAGAGTCATTTGAGATAATGGCAATTTATATTTTGGCATATTTTACTTAGTCTGTATCTAATACTTTCAAACCGAATTAAAATAATACCAAAAAAGCCAAGCCTTAAATACTGTTTACTATAAGTTGTTATGCTCAACATTTTTAAATATAGCTTAAAATTTTTCAGATATACTAATTATAACATTTGCATAAGTATTCACCACTGTACCCTAAAATTAATATTTTGGTTTGTGTCAACTTTTTCTAGGCATGAAGAATAACATGATTAATATATTGGCATAGATCTTTGTTCATATGTCTTCTTAACTATTTCCTAACAGAAAAAAATTCTAGCAGTGGTTTTGCTAGTAAAGGAGATATATTTTATAAACTTTGATATGTGTTGCTGATTTATTCTGGAGAACTGTTTTACTGGCTTATGAGCATTATCTGCCTAGTTATGTTCTCAACATGGCATTTAAAAGTTTGTTGTTAATCAGGAGGAAATGATAATATTTTATGGATTTCATTTTTACTTGAAAAAGAGAAAATCTTTTAACGTATTAATCGGTAATTTGTGCATCATGTTTGTTTGCTATGGTTAGTTTTACCTCTGTTTTCTTGGGAAATTGATTTTTTCATATAGTTATTAGTTCATTGGGAATTATGTGGGAGCTATTATTATTTTTCGTGATCCCATCCAGACTTTTTGGTCCCTGTTCTGAAGACTAAACAAGGGTGGGTTTGGAAATTGCAAAATGAGAAGAAGGCTTAGACAGGCTGTGGAGCCCGAGATTCTGACAGCAAAGATCAGAGGAATTCTGGGTTCGGGCTGGCTGCTGGTCTTTGAACAGTTGAAACCTCACACTACACCTTCCTAAATTCTGATGAGTTGCTGCTGCTGGGAGGGGCTGAGTGTCTGTGAAATCACCTTCAAATGTCATGAAGCATACTTGTTCTCACAGCTGAGATTACTACTTGATTTTCTACAAACCATGCAGGCTATTAATGACACAGAGAAGTTAGGCCTTTTATATGGATTATTTAGGCAAACAGCCTACAACTCATAGCTACCCTATGTACAGCAGCCCTAAACTCTGCTTTATCCTGTGCCAAACTCATTGTCTCTGACACTCCTACCCTCTTTACCCCAGTCACTGAATCAATCCATCTCATTGAGGGTCTTCCTCTCCTGCACTGTCCCTCCACCCTCCCAAGCATGATGTCCCTTTGCAAGGACTGGTCCTGCCTTGCAACAAGGTCAAAGTAAGTCAGATGAAGCTTCAGAATCCTTGCCTCCAAGGAGCAGCCTGGTCTCACCGTCTCTAGGACAAACCTGTTTGTTCTCCTAGCAGTCCCTCGTATATTCAATACTCTCCTCCAGCACCACAGCTCAAAGGCATCAATTCTCCTTCTATCATCCCTATTCATTGTTCAAATCTCTGATGCAAAGCAAGTAATGGCAAAGACTATGGCCTGTATCAGGTGCACCTTAGTCTCCAGACTGACATTATTGCTCTACAGTACTTTGGAGAGGTCTCTGACAGCAGACTTTCTCAAAGTAATTAATATTTTAATTTCCTGCCTGATGGTACCAAGAGTGTTGATTGTGGAGCCAAGCAAACTGAAGCTGTTAATAATTTCAATCTCTTCCCTTTCTACCATGATGCTGTCAATTGGCCCAGTGGTGAGAATCTTTGTTTTCCTAATGTTGAGCTTCAATCCAGCTAATCATAGGGATCTCAAAAGTGGAGAAAGGAAGTTTTAACAAGTAAATTAATCACAAAACTATAGCCCTTTGACAGGTGTAGGATATGTTAGTATCCCAAGATTGTCAAAGCCGTGTCTGTGCTTTGTTCCTGCCACCCCACAGAGTGCACAGTCTGGACATTGAGGGAAGGGACTGTGGTGATGCAGCGGCCGAGTGGATAACCAGCTTCCTGAAGACACAGCCCTACCGCCTTGTGCATTTTGAACCTCACATGCAACCAAGAAATTCTCACCAAATAAAGAAGGCATTCCGTCCCAGTGAGAAGGTTAGAGGGGCATTGGTGGGCTTAACCTTTGGTGTACCCTGTGAAGGAAGGCTTCCTCCAAGGGTGGAGCCTTAAGCTCCTTGGTCACAAATGGCATCTCAGTCAGGAACACAGCTCTGCCATTTTCCCAGGTTGTCACTGGGGTAGTTTGGCCTGATCAGTGACTGTAGAACATAAGCAATAGGCCAAATAATCCTTTCCTTGTGTTCCTTTATTGGGGAATTCTCTTGGATTTTTGCCCATGAGCATCTATGTCTGTTATCTTTTATGTGAGGATTTTGGTGTGCTATGGGCTGCTCTGCAGGAGAAGGATGGGAAATTTCCTCCTGTGTGATATACTGCCGCTGGCGGGCCATTTATGGGCACACAACAACCACATGGTTTAAAAACGTCTACATAAACACGTTGTTCACATAGTTGTGTGGGGAGTTCTTGATTACACACACACAGATTATAATTGTGTGTCAGGTTCAACAGCTCAAAACTCAACTCACTGCCATGGAGTCAGTTCCAACCCACAATTGATCCTCCATTGGGTTTCTGAAGCCGTAATTCGTAATATAAAGGGCTACCCATTTCTCTCCCATGGAGCTATTGATGGATTCAAAACAAAGCAACTTGTTACAGACTACACCACCAACGTGTGTGCTGGGCTACAGTTGTGCAAACTGGAATAGTGTTGGACTTAAAATTAATGCCATCCACCCTTAAAGGAATAATGTTTAAGAATTAATAATAAAAGTAGAATTGGCAGCAATGAACACTACCTTTACTATGGTTCATTTTAAAAATTATAGTTAGCCTAGGCACTTAACATTCATTTACAGGTTACATAAAACATAAGTATTCATGGAGTTAGCAAATGTTCTTACCAAACATAGAAGCCTGGTTGACACATTGGTTAGATACTCAGCTGCTGACTGAAAGTCTGGCAGTTCAAAATCACCAGAGGCTTCTCGGGAGAATGATGTGGTAGCATTCTGCTTTTATGAAGATCACAGCCTTGGAAGTTCTGTGGGACAAGTCTACTCTATGCTATAGGGTTGCTAAGTTAGAATCAACTTAGCAGCCAAGGACTGGGCCTTTGGTTTTTTATAAAATACAATGAGGTCATTCAGTCCAAGTATTTTATAAAGAATTTGAGCAAACAAAGACTTGAAAGATGATACGGTTTCCACCAGAGCATATACCTAGTATTCCGAGACCACTGCCTCTTTACTCCAGCACGCAGATCCCATGATTTGTAAGACTGTGAAAGGTTTCTGAGCCACTGTGGCATTCTACAACAAAGAACCAGAGAAATATTGAGAAAGGTGCTGTGTGGGTGTGTGTCTTGTGTTACCAAATACGAGATACACGCCACCTCTGAGAAGCTTGCTTGTAACACTTTCCATAACCATTCCTGTCTCCTCAGATTGCTTATCCTGATGCCAGCCCGTACCTGATTCTTTCTGAGGCATCCTTGGCAGATCTTAACTCCAGACTGGAGAAGAAAGTTAAAGCCACCAACTTCAGGCCCAATATTGTGATTTCAGGATGTGGTGTGTATGAGGAGGTAATTGTGGGCCTTTGGGACCCTGGTGTTCTTGTGAGAGTTAGCTCTGGCTCATGGGATCAGTATATAACAGAAGGAGGCATTGCCTGGTCCCATGAGCTCATTGCTGCAGTTATTGTGTCAGTCCATTTCATTAAGAGTATCTCAGGTTTTCACTGATCCTCCCTTTACGCAACATGATATCCTCCTTATTGATTGATTGGTTTTTAATGGTGATGTGTCCAAAACTGCAAAAGTCAAAGTCTCTTCATCTTTAATTCTAATAAACATTATGGTTGTATTTAAGACTGATTCACTTGTCCTTTTACCTTGTATGCCTGTGACTCATTCCTCTGAAGTTAACATCGCACACAGGAATGATCTAGAAATACTTCTCGTTGTTGTTTGTTGTTATGTGCCATTGAGTCACCTGCGACTCTTAGAGACCCTATGTACAACAGCCGTAAAGCCTGCTCTATCCTGTGCCAATCTTATTGTCTCTGACACACCTAGCCCCATTACCCCAGTGACTGAATCAGTCCATCTCATCGAGGGTCTTCCACTCCTATGCTGTCCCTCCACCCTCCCAAGCATGATGTCCCTCTGCAAGGACTGGTTCCTTCTTGCAACATGTCTAAAATATGTCAGATGAAGCTCCAGAATCCTTGCCTCCAAGGAGCAGCCTGGTCTCACCCTCTCCAGGATGAATCTATTTGTTTTCCTAGCAGTCCATGGTACCCTCAGTTCTCTTCTCCAGCACCACAGCTCAAAGGCATCAATTCTCCTTCTATCCTTCCTAGTCATTGTCCAAGTCTCTGATGCACAGCAAGTGATTACAAAGACCATGGCCCGTATCAGGTGCACCTTAGTCTCCAGACTGACATCATTGCAATAAGTCTTTTAATTTCCTGGCTGCTAGTGCCAACAGTGTTGATTGTGGAGCCAATTTGCTAATGAAAACAAACTCTCATTCTTTCCCTTTGTGCCTTTGAAGTCCCTGTGTGGTTCTTAGGGTTAAGGGCTTGCTGTGAATGAAAAGCTTAGGAGGCCTGGTTCCCTAGATTTCCTCCCCTCCTTCAGGGTGCTGTGGAAGAAAGACCTGGCTGGCAATCTCCTTCCAAAAAAAGAAGTCCAAACAAGCAAACACAAACAGACCACAGTTTTGCTCTGACTCATGGGCTCATCTTGAGTCAGAATATAAGCTACTTGACAGCTTTTCAAAATTCTGTAATTTTGGGGTATGTGTTTGCACACACACTGCTCTCTCATAAGGAAATGCACAGTATAGATTGTAGCTGTTCCAGCTATTTTCCCTTCAGCTTCACAGACTGTCTTGTTAAAATGATTTAAAAATAAATCTTACCGTACTTTTACCAGTAATGTGCTCTCCCTCTCTCTCTCTCTCATTGTCACCCAGCTGATTCTAATTCATAGTTGACCCTTCAGTGGGTTTCCAAGGTTGTAAATCGTACAGGAAGAGGTTGTCCATCTCTCTCTTTCACCAGAGGAGTGCCTGGTAGGTCCAAACCTCTACAGAAGCTCGGATGTTGAGTTGGCAGTGTGACTTCCTATGGACCAAGCCACCAGTGTCACTGTCAAAGTTCCAAGCCTGGGAACTTGTGAACAACAAAGTACAGGGCAGGCTTGTTCAACATAACCAGTTACAACAAGTAATAAAAACCCTAAGCAAATTGATCAATGAACACATTTATCAAATATTGTCTAGGATTTGATTCTATTCAGAAACTCTAATGGTGCCATGGTTAAGGGCTTGGCTGCTGACTAACAGGTTAGTGATTCAAATCCACCAACTCTCTGAACCCATCAGCTGCCCCGTGGGAGAAAGATGTAAGAGTCTGATTCTATAAAGATCATAGTCTTAGGGAGCTCTGGTGGCCTAGTGGCAAGAAGCTGCACTGCAATCCCAGAGTACACAGTTTGAATCCACCAGATGCTCTGCTGGAGAAGGAGGGACAATCTCCTCCTGTACCAGTCAGATCCGGTTTGATAGTACACACAGAAGATAATAAAACTTAAAAAAAAAAATCATAGTCCTGAAAATCCCATGAGGCAGGGGTGCACTGTCCTATATATAGGGTCACTATAAGTTGGAAGTGACTCAATGGTGGTGGCTTAATGGACCATGTCTCTACAGGTGCCTAGAAAGCTCATGTGATTCTGTACTTTGTCCCCCAGGACTCATGGAAGGATCTTCGTATTGGTGACGTGGAACTGAAAAGGGTGATAGCTTGTACCAGGTAAAATGCTTCCGTCCCTGCCAGGGTGAAGGGCAGGCAGAAATCAGGCCTGCAACCTTGCATGATGCTCTGTGTATGTCTAGGTGTCTTTTAACTACTGTGGACCCGGATACTGGCATCATGAGCAGAAAGGAGCCACTGGAAACACTGAAGAGGTAAGACGGGCGGGTGGGAGCTCACTCTTGTATTGACATGCCTAGTGCAGCGGCAACCCAGTGAAATGAGGAAGCTGGGAAAATACCACACACTTACCACCTTGAAGCTGCTATTGTTATCAAGTGGCATCTTAGCAGTTCTTCACACAGCGATCCTATATCATAATGAAACTCTGCTGACTCCTGGCCATCCTCACAATCAAGGGTATGCTGACCCATTGTTACAGCCAATTTGTCAACCTTTTTGAGGCTCTTTCTTTTTTCTCTAAGGCAACTCCAGGTGTACTTGAACCTCCAACCTTTCCATTAACAGCCATAACATCCATAACATACATTAGCTGTTTGCACCACCCAGGAACTGAGTGTATCCACCACATTTTGTTTCATTTACTCATCTGTTGCCCATACCTGGGCTGTCCCTCCCCTTTGACTATTGGGAACGATGTGACACGAGTATACTGTAAAACATCTCACTTCCTTGTCCACCGGGCCATCCTCTGCTCCCCTGCCCCACCCCACCCCACTTCATGGCCCTTGTAAAGCTTACTTATTGTCTGGCATCCTTTCCCTCAGGTTCTAGAAAGTTTGCATAATGGGCTGCTCAAAGCTTCCTTGTGTTCAAGCCAAGTCTCTGAGATTTTAGGCCTGCCTTCATTTGGGTGCCTGTGTTTATGGAAGGGGAATAATTGACCCTCAAGCCCAAGTGAGGGCAGGGGGCAGGTAGTGGGGCACCATTACCCCTCCCCTGATCTTCTGCAGGCTCGATGCAGCCGACAATCTGGCTCTAATTGCTTCTAATGCCCAGCAGACAGTGCAACCAGCTGAGGTATCTTCTCCTCTCTCACTGAGATTTAAACTGCCAGAGGTGCTGTAATTTATGTCCTCCCCAGGACAGGTGGCCATAAATCGGGCAGAGAAAGCCCAGCCCCTCCCATAAATCATGGGAAACACAGCAAACAGTGGTTTCAGCAACACCCTTGCTGATCTGTGCCTCTGTGATCCATCTTCTGTCTGCTTATGGTGCCCGAGGCTGCTGTTGCTTCTGGAATTCAAATGCTCAGCAATAAGATCTCACCACCCGCTCCTCCTAACTGATGTCAGTCTCCCACAGCGCAGCCTGACAAGGGGAAGAAAAGCATTGCTGAGCATCTGCTCAATATGAAGGAAGACACAATAGACTCATTGCAACAAGGCTTCCGGTGGCATTGAAGACCCTGTGGAGCACACATGAGATGGCCATGAGTCAGAACTGACTCCTTGGCAACTATTCATGTATATGTATATGTATATACGTATACATATATGTATATACATGGAGCTCTGGTGGTGCAGGGCATTCCAAGTAAGGCCGCTAACCAAAAGATTGGTGCTTTGTGTTCACCAGGTGCTCCATGGGAGAAATAGGATAGACTTCTGGAGAAATATGGCAGAGCTGCTGGGGAGCTCTGGCAGTGTGGTTTTGAGAGGATTGTGCTGTGAACTCAAAGGCTGTGCTTCTCTGCTGGTTCAAATCCACTAGCACCAATCTCCTTTTTTGTGATTACAGTCTCAGAAAACCTGCTCAAAGGTCAGCTGTGAGTCAGTTGCCACTTAATGGCAATTAGTTTATCTTTTTTCATTTTTTTTCCTCATGAAGATTTATTTATAGTCTCAGCAACCCAGTAGAAGGTTGCCATAAATCAGAATCAATTTGATTGAATCTACTGGTTTGGTTTTGGTTGTCATACATGTTTGCTTATTTAAAAACATATAAATATCCACGTGCTATGCAAATACAACTCAATGGCACTTAACAATAACAATGACAACATAGAGTTATGTTGGCCTAGTGGACAGAAAGTTATGCTACCAAGCCCAAGGAGGGTGATTTTAATCTGTGGCCCACAGGCCTTGTTTAAATTGTTTTTTGACAACTATTCTTCCAAGAGGTATAGCACTAGTCTATCCATTTGCTGTACAGAGGTAACTCCTGGTTGCTGTGATGCTAAATACTGTGACACTGACGTGTCAAATGCAACAATGGTTACCTATGGTGGACAGTGTTTGGTGGAGCTTCCCAAGTAAAGCAAGCTTGGAAGCAGGAGTGGCATCCACTCCCAAAAAGGCCTGCCTCTGGAAACTCTATGAACAGTGCTCAAGTCTTTCATTCATAGGGTCGCTGTGAGTCGTCTATGACTCGATGGCACTTAACAACAACAACATGTAAATGCATAGCATTCCTTCCCCAGCTAATGAGAGCTAGTGACCCCAGGCTACAGAGCTTTGCAGCAATAAGAAGTCACAAGTCGTAAAAGCAGTTGATCTGAGCCTGGGCACAAAGAAGATATATGCGCACTCATGTTTACTGCAGCATCATTCACAATGACAAAGAGGAGAAAGCCCAAGTGCCTCTCAACAAACGAATGGATAGAGAAACTGGTACATCCACACGATGGAATAATGTGCAGCCTTGAAAACCAAATAACACAACATGGATGAGTCTGGAAAACATTATGCTGAGTGAAATATCTAGGTCACAAAGGGACAAAAATTGCCCAAGACAACTGTCATAACAATAGAATGGATCCAGGGAGGGGCAGAGTAGGAAAAGAATAGATAATGAACCCTGCACTGGAATAGATAAAAGGAAGGAAGGACAATCAGAAGTGAATTGACAATTACACAATTGTGTATGATAATTAACAACCTAGAATAAGACAAAGATTACAAACCAACCGAATGAGAGGGGTGAGGCAGGAAAATGAGTATGAGTAAAGTAATGAAAACTAATTTCATTGTAAACTTTCACTAAAATTACAATTAAAAAAATAAAAATCACAATGGGGAAAAAGTAGTGGATCTGCTCTTGATCTTAAAGAGGCTACCCTTTCATAGTCACAGTATGAAAGGGTAGCCTCTTTAATCAATGGTCTGGTATTGCATGGTATCAAGAAATAAAAACATCCTCTGGAGAGAAACCTGATTAGTAGAAGATTCCTCATTTGTTTACTTGTTCATTCATTTGTTCACATGTTTTATTTTGGTGGCTCCAGTGAAACAGCCTGTGTGGATAAAGCAGCCAGTGGCCAGACAGAGTGGGTAATGCAGGAAAAAAGGTCCAGAAGGGAGGGTCTAGATTCACTATCTGCTTTCTCGTTAGCAGTTTCTGGTTTGGAGCACAGAATTAGAATCCCGTTGTTGCTACGTTTTTGCTTTTAAAGCACAATGAAGTGCAAGTAATGCCCACTATGAATTTTTTTTTTGTGTGTGTATAAAAGATGTTACAGCTTTGTGGTAGTGTATGTGAGGAATGCCTCTTGTTCATCTGGTATGACCTGAAATTTTTCAGTGACACTTCTTTTTGGTACAGTGACTCTGCTGTGTATTCCCTCCATCTTCTTTTGATATTCCTGAATCATTCAACACATTGCCTGTTGGTTTTGTTGTTGTTTTGTGCCGTCAAGCTGAAACCGACTCATAGCTGACCCTCTGGCAGATTTTCAGAGGCAGTTTAATTGCACAGGAAGAGATTCCCAATCCTTCTCCCATGAACAGCTAGCAGATTTGAACTGACTGCTTTTGGGGTTACAACACAGCTTCTTGCCACTAGGCCTCCAGAGTGCCCTTCAATATTGCAACTCGAGGCTTAAATTTGTTTTTCAGTTCTTTCAGCTTAAGAAATGAAGTTCTTCCCTTTTTATTCAATGGTAATCAGTGGTAATGAAGGAAGAAATTGAAGCTGCACTGAAGGCAAGGCCCCAGGAATCGATGGGATACCAATTGACATGTTTCAACTCCTGAGAGTATGCTAGAAAATTTGGAGGACAGCTGTCTCACAGATTGGCTGGAAGAGAACCATAATTGGTCCCATTCCCAAGGAAGGTAATTCAACAGAATGTGAAAACTATCAAACAATGTCATTAATATCACATGCAAGCAAAATGCTGCTGAAGATCATTAAAAAATGGCTAGACTAGTACATGGGTAGGGAACTGCCAGAAATTCAAGCAGGATTTAGAAGAGCCCATTGGCATCAAGATATCATTGCTGATGTCAGATGGATCCTGGCTGAAAGTAAAGAATACTGGGGGGGGGGGAATCTACTTATATTTTATGACTATGCAAAAGCATTTGCTTGTGTGGATTATAACAAAATATGTGTAACATTGAGAAGAATGGGAATCCCAGAGCACTTAATTGTGAGCATGTGAAACTTATACCTAAACTGAGAGACTGTTGTGTAATCAGAGCAAGGGAACACTACATGATTTAAAATTAAAAAAGAAGTATGTAAAACTGTATTCTTCTCCATACCTATTCAATCTGTATGCTGAGCAAATTATTCTAGACATTGGACTCTATGAGGAAGACTGTGACCCCAAGATTAGAGGAAGATTAATCAATAATCTAAGTTGTGCAGATGACACAATCTTGTTTCCTGAAAGTGAGGACTTGAAACACTTGTTGCAGAAGAACAAAGAATAAAGCCTTCAATATGGAGTGCATCTCAACGTCAAGAAAACAAAAATTCTTTCCACTGGACTGACAAGCAGCATCATGATAGATGGAGAAAAGACTAAAGTTGTCAATGATTTAATTTTACTCGGATCCACAATCAACATCCTTGGTACTGTTGCATTGTTGTTTGTTGTTGTGTCCTGTAGAGTTGGAATTGACTCATAGCTGATGCTCCTACATGTTTTCAGAGGCAGTAATTGCATGGGAGGAGATTGCCCATCCTTCTCCTATAGAGCAGCTAGTGGCCTTGAACAGTGTACCTTGGGGATCGGAGCATAGCTTCTTGCCACTAGGCCACCACAGCTCCCTTCCTTGGTGCTAGCAGCCAGGAAATCAGAATTGCACTGGGAAAATCTTCAATCTGAGACCTCTACAAATTCTTGAGAAGCAATGATATCAGTTTGAGGACTAAGGTGTACCTGATTCAGGCCATGGTCTTTTCAATCACTCGCTATGCATCTGAGAGTTGGACATTTAATAAGGATGACAGAAAAAGAATTGATGACTTTGAGCTGTGGTCTTGGGAAAGAGTACTGAATAACCCCATGGACTGCCAAAAGAATAAACAGATATGTCTAGAAAAAGTGCAATCAAAGTGCTGTTTGGAGGCAAAGATGATAAAGCTTCATCTCACATACTTTGGACACATTGCTAGCAGAGACTATTCTATGGTGAGGGACATCATTCTTGGGAAAGGTGGAGAGTCAGTGAAAGAGAGACCTTCAACCAGATAGCAACAGGCTATGGGATACACAGTGACTGGGTTCTGGTGTGTCAGAAAGTGTGAGGATGGCACCAGATAGGAAAGGCTTTAGATACGTTGTTCATAGGGTCACTATGGGTCATACTCAACTCAATGGCACATATCAATAATAACAATAAAGTGAGAAACTGAAGTGGAACTTACTTCTGGAGGATGTTGCGTCTTGTGCTGTTCCCATATATTTGTGCATGTGCATTCTTGCTAAGGGCTTCACACCTGCCTAACAATATATGTGCACTATCTGCACAAAAGTGTTTGGTCCCCACACTTTCATCTTATTAAACATTTGTGTTACCAGTGATCTAGGACCCAATACAGATGTGAACATTTCAGGGGTTGAGATGGAGAGCTTGCTCTCCGAGGACTCCCAGTCTTCAGAATAGATAAGACATGCATCCTAACTCCAGGACAAGATATGAATGCTGAGGAGGGGGGAATGATGTCTGGGATTCCTTCCTGGGAGATGTGGTTTCTGAGGTGTTTCCTATGCTTTGCCTGAGGTGTTTCCTATGCTTTGCATGTGTTGTCAGCAAGTGTCAGTCTTTGGAAAAAGACTCATCATGGGAAAAGCAGAGGGTCAGTGAAAGAGAGGAAGACCCTTAACTAGATGGACTGACAGAATGACTGCAACAATGGACATAATCATGGTGGAGTATGAGGGGATGTCACAGGATTTCGATGTGTTGTTTGTAGAGTCAGTATAAATTGACAGCACAGGTGGCCCGATGGTAAAAATCTGCACTGCAATTCCAAAAGCATGTGGTTCGAATCCACCAGCTAGCTGCTCTGCAAAAGGATGGGCACTCTCCTTGTGTGCTATTACTACCTCTGAAAACCCACTAGAAGGTCACCTATGAGTCGGTCTAGACTTGATGGTAAACAACAATAACTACTACTAACTAGTAGCTAACTTTAGGGAAATAGAGAGTTTGAATACGTACAGAACTGGAGGAGGAACAGCCCGCTGACACCACAGAGCCAGTCAAATGCAAAACAAGCTGCGAGAACATTGAGGCAAGTAGTGGAGTGCTGCATACGTTCATCCAAGGAGCAGAGGGTGACAGGTTTGAAAGAGCAGGCTGGGGCAGGTAGAGAGCCTTACACACAGGCTGAAGAGTCGGAGTGTTATTCTTTAGGCACTAGGGAGCCATTGGAAACTTCTGAGTCTGTGGTTTATAAGATCAGAACACAAGAAAGCAACAGAATCGAGTATTAACACTGAATTGAAAGAGGGAAAGAATGAAGAAAAGGGACTAATTAGGAAGTTCTAATAGTCTAAATTGGGAGTACTGGGCTCTGGTAGTCTACTGGTAAGAAGCTGTGCTCGCAACCCAAAGTCACACAGTTCAAATCCACCTGCTGTCCCAGGCGAGAAAGATGGACAGTCTCCTCCTGTGGGATTTACTGCTTCAGAAAACCCACTGGAAGGTCAGTTATGAGTCAGTTTAATGGCTCCTAAAACCAATAGTCTGAGGAGCCTTCAAATAAAATTTGACAGTGGAGTTGGGGAAAACCAAGCAAATGAAAAATATATACAAAGAGAACTTTAGGATTTACTTCCGATTTAGTCTTGAAAAGTGAGAGCTATGATATAAAAGATGACTCTAGAACTCCACACTTGAGGGACTGGTAGAAGGGTCATGATAGAAATGGAGAAACCAGATGGAAAGATGAGAGAAAGGGAGAGAAAGGAAGTATGAACAAGCATATTAAGCACTTAGTAGATCTCTGGGTGATACAAACAGTTTGCCTTGGGCTATTCATTGAAAAGGTTGGCAGTTCAAACCATTTAGCTGTGCCACAGAAGAAAGACCCAACAATATTGCATTAATATATAATGTAACAATGGAAACTCTGTGGTGCTCAGTTCTCTTGTGCTTTGATGGGAATAGTTCTTTATGGGTGAGCAATATGGCGGCCCTATGTGAGACGACTGCTCACCTCAGCCAAGGAGGGTTTGAATAGTCAATCTGTTAGGTTGTAACTCGCTGTCTTCTCTCTCGTTGCAGTTACCGCCTGTGTGATCCTTCTGAAAAAAATCTGTATGGACAATTACCACTTTTTGGACAGTATTTTGTCCTGGAAAAGCCAGGCATAATCAAAGTGGGAGACCCTGTGTACTTGCTGGGCTAGTGATGAACCTGTAGTTCTCGGAAAATCAGATGCCCCAAGAAAAAGTCCTTTAAAATGACTACACCTGGAGCTCAGTATTTTGGAACTGACGGCTCTGAATTTTCTTTATAGCTATGATTTCAAACTGTTTTCTTTCATAGCCTTCCATGTGTCTTCATGTTTTCAGCATTCCAGTGCAGAAAGCAAAAATCACAGTATTACCAACTTAGTAGAACTTCAGGAAGTCACTAAATCCTAAGATGGTCTTCTGAAAAAGATCCCTGTTTAATTATGATTGTGGAATAATCCCAAAATTCTAATCTCTATCATCTCATTATCACCACTTAAGGAAAAGAAAAGGGAGCTCTAGTGACTTAAGTGGTAAGGAGTTGTGCTGCCAACCCAAAGGCATACAGTTCAAAGCCACCAGCCACCCTGCTGAAAAAAGATGATCCATCTCCTGTGACATTTACAGTCTGGAGACCCACTGGAGGGTCAACTATGAATTATTCCAACTTGACAGCACAGAACATTAACAGGGAAAAGAAAAAAAAAAGAAAGAGAAGGTCGTACCTTTCCGAGTGGAAGTAAGTGAGGAAAGGAGAAAATTCTAACAAATAAGATTTATTACTCCTCAGCACTGGACACTCAGTGGAAATGAAATAGCTTCCATATAGAGATAGAATGCCAATTTGTTATTCTCTATTTCTTGTCAAGACCGATATTAGCATTTTACAAAGGCTTAAAGGACCTGGGTGTTAGAAAATGCTTACGATGTTAATTTCTTATAGATCTCGGGTTTTTCACTATTGGATTCGATGCCTCCTTCATGGTGGACAATGCTTCTGCATTTAGGACAGCAGAAGTGTCAAAGTGGACATCAGGGCATGAGAGCAGTACTGCTGTCAGATTCTGATCTGGATTAGGTGAAAAGCAAGACAGAAATAAACAGAAACTCCCTTGCCATGAGGCAAAATATGAAGTGTGCTCCTTTGTGATTCAAACTCTTTCTGAAGACATGAGAGCCCACAGTGGCACCCGAGAGGAATGGGAGGAACGGATCTCTGAAATGCTCCTGTCTAGGATACAAGGCGTTGTCTGAGGGCTGTATGCCTCCTTCACTCACCCCACTGCTTCCACTCTATTCCAATAGGACCGAGTAGGACTGCTCCTGAGGATTTCTGAGGCCGTGAACCTTTGTGGAAGCAGATTTTCGTATCTTGTACCTGTAGAGGGGGATAATAGGTCACCCATCTTTTGGTTAGCAGGCAAAGTGCCTCAACTACAGTACCACCAGAGTCCCCTCCCTTCTTGGTTGTCATTATTGTTGTGTGCCTTCGAGTCAGAATTGACTCATAGCTGACCCTCCAGCAGGTTTTCAGAGGCAGTAGATCACACAGGAAGTGATTGCCCATCCTTCTCCAGCGGAGCAGCTGGTGGATTTGAAAACAAAAAGAGATGGCCGGAGAAAAGGCCTCCTGATGACAATGAACAGCTCGGCTGATACTATTAAAAAGATTTAAAATGTGTCTGTAAGAGGGTTTTCGTTTTGGGTCCTGAAAAATTGGAGGCTTTGGAGGGTGCGCCCTCAGGTGCTGGTGACAAGGTGGGAAATTCAGCTTGATGTAGACAGCTTGAGAAAGACCTGCTGTCTACGTCTGAAAAATTAGTTCTTGAAACCTCTATGGAGGCCAGGGTCTACCCTGACACAGGTGGGATCCCCAGGAGTTGTTGGCTGGATGGCAGCTGGCTACTGGTTCTCTAGTGACGGAAGTGGTGGGGCTTCCCGGTGCTCTCTGCTTCTTTGCTGTAGATGAGCACACTTCCTCAGAGTGCTCAGGAAGGTGGTTTTGCTGTCATAGGGGCCTCTGGGTCCTTGTTGTTATTGATTGCCTTCGAGTTGAGCATGACTTACAGTGATTCTATGAACAAAAGGCCTGAAGCCTTTCTATCACTATTGATATTTATCAAAGTTCATAGAGTTTCTGGAGACATGTTGTTTAGGAAGTGGATGCCACTCCTGGGGTCCTTACAGGCTCACTATTTCATGACTGATCATCTACCTCAAAATAGGATAAAAATGTTCTTACACTTGTGGATCAGAGGAAATATAACTGCATAACTTGAAATAAATTGCCAAAAACTTTGGAAAAGATGAAAAAGAAAGCCTTTATGTATTGGCTGGGAAAAAGAAATCTTTAATTTTTTGCTAACTGATTAAATTATAACTCCAGAAGATGATGAAGTTGAAACTTTTAAGGACACTGTGTCTCTCTTGATTCTATTGGGAACCTAGCTAAAATCTCTTCAAAATGTTTCAAAAATTAGAAATAAATGGAAATGACTTGGACTATTTGCAACTCGGAAGGAGGAGTGGCATCCACTTCTGTAATAGCTTGCCTCCAAAAACCCTATGAACCTGGAGAGAGGATGAGAGACACCTACGTGTTGAGGACTCTCCCTCATACGGTCACTATGAGTTGCCTGCGACTCGACGGCACTTAACAACAACAACATTTGCAACTATTACCAACTTCTTGCCAAAAAGACTTTGAATGGTGAATGGGCAAAATCAGCAATTCTGGATAATCATTCTACACCTGAGAGTCTCTTACTAAGTGGATTGAGGTAAACACCTGCTGTTGAGTGACTGTCGGGCATAAGTGTAAATTTTTCACCTCAAGAGTCATGCAGGTTTTTTTCCTCTCTTTTGTTTTATAAGAGTTCAATAATTATAGTCCTCAGTGGAGGTTCGTGTGTTTCTCTGATTTTGAACAGATTTCAAGAAAACGTCTAGACTAAGGGGAATGAGGAGGAAAGGTGTGGTGATCTATCTCCAAAAATTAGTCAATGAAAACCTGAGGGCCCAAGTGGCCCAATCCACAACTGAGCATGGGGATGCACAGGGTGAGGCAGAGTTTGGTTTTGCTGTGCCCGGGGTCACCATGACTTAGTGGCTGACTTGATGACCGATAACAACAACAACAACAATAATAATAGCAAAGCCAGGTCAAGTTACAAGAGGCGTGAGTATATATGTTTTCTGGTTTATAAATTACTGTCCTTCGTTGTCTACACTTGGAGTGAAGTGGAGGATTAATTCCAATAACCTGAAGCATCACTTTCCCCTATTGGCCCAACAACTGTAGACATTGTTGCTGTGTGCCACCGAGTTGACTTTGACTCGGAGTGACATAGTGAGAGGAAACCCCGTAGGGTTTTTTTGCTGTCATCTTTACAGGAGAAGATGGGTAGATATTTCTTTCCTAGAACAGCGGGGTGGATTTGAATCTCCAGCCGATTGCTTAGCAGCCAAGGACCATCAATCACAGTTTCTAGAATTTCCAATAAAGTTTCTTCCAGGAACATTACTGACAAGACCGTGAGAACTCAAGATGGAATGCACACAGGATTTAAGACCCACTGTGAATATCTGCTCTTTAAGATCAGAGGTTAGAGGTCAAGTTTGATGGCTGCTGTTGCTGGTTGCTGCCAAATGAACTTCAACTCATATATACATTCTCATATATAACAGGAAAAAAATATTGTCTAATCCTGCTCATCTTCATAATCCTGGTATGTCTGAGTCCTTTTCTTCAACTATCTCACGGGGGCTTCCCCCATTTGCATTGGCCTTCTCCTTTATGACACATCATACTCTTCATTAATGATCAGTCTTTACTGATGAAGTGTTCAAAGTAACGAAAATATTAGCCTCCTTACTTTCAAGGAGAATGCTGGTTGCATTTCCCCATCCCCCCCTAAATCTGCCTTCTTCATTCTATGTCTGTCCAAAGTATATTCAACATTGTTTGTCAACACCTGTTTGAACACATGGATTTTCAGAATGTCATCTTCTCATGCTCACCAAGTAAGACTGAAAAGACGATGGTTTGGGTCAGAGAATCCTAGTCAGCAAATAAATATCTTTGCTTTTTGACTACTTCAAAAGTTCCTTTTGCTGTAGATTTCCCCAATGCAAAACCTTGATTTCTGCTGCTTCTAGAAACATTAATTGGTGATATGAGTAAAATAAATCTGTTTTCAAATTTTGTGTGATGGCTTTTTTAGCTATTTGTAGTCAGTGACCTGAATTTCTAACCCTTTTGTAAGCAGCAACATTAACCTCCCAAGATGACTCAATCAATGTCAAAGACCACATTTCACATAGACCCCTTGGTTCACAGTGTCCAGGTTTCCAGGAAAGCTGCCATTGCAGAGCAAACTTTAAACAGAAGGGGGCACTGCAACACCTTCCTCACAAGGATGGGAGTCACCCTCTGCCCTTCAGAGTGCAAAGAAGATTCCTGTTTGAAGGGAGAGTTTCCAGTGACCTCGAGAATCTTGGAGTAGTTGCCAAGCTTTCTGTCAGTGAGATTTAAAAGCCATTAACTCATGTTTATTTTATATTTAATGAGTTGTTTAATGCCAAAGGCAGGCTGATGCCCCGTTTATTTTGGATACGGAACATTTACACACAATTTCACTTGAAATATAGGGTCAGAAATATAGGCCATCAAAGGCCCTTGGAAAGATCTTCTTACAGCCATGTGTAATTGACATTCTAGGTCAGATCACAGTATCCACCTTTGATGAGTGTTTTAATTCTGGGTGGTAACTCTACACTGTTACTACGGCAGAGAGATACACACCCAGGGCTGAAGATCTTGAAAAGTACCGTGTACAGACTTCAGTGGGCTGCCTGGAAGGCTTGGTTTCATAGCTATTACATGAAAATAGTTAGACACTCATAGCCAAGAGATAAAAGCAGCAATTTATACATGTAAGGGAGTTCCTAAATGATACAAATGGTCAACACATTCAGCTAAAGGCTGCAGGTTCGAATCCACACAGAAATAGATCTGCTTCTGAAAAACTAGCCATTGAAAACCATATGTATGTAGCCCAGTTCGACTCTGACATACATGGAATTATCACGGGTCAGAACCGACTCAGTGGCAACTGATATGCATGCAAGAACACAAAGAAATAAAGTGAACCTAATGGAAATCGGGTACTTG